TTTTTTATCAGTGAAAATGAAATATTATTGAGTACAAAGTAAAGGTGTATTCCATATTCGTACATCAAAATATCATATATTTTTAATACAATTTGCATTTTGTTATAGAATATTCATATTATAATTATGTTGATTGAGTTCATATTATAATTGATTGATATAATTAAGTTAATTGATTTTGTCTCATAAAATATTTTTTTGTACAGACTTATAAATAAGTACCTTATATATTTAGTAAAATTAAAAAAAAAAGAGTTTTTTTCTTCATATTTCTTTATATTTTTCTTCTCTTTATTTAAACAGTCTCTTGTGCACGGTAAAAGGAAAAAATCCTAGCCCGGCAGCAAGCTCCCCTTTGGGTCTTGTCTTTTCTTGTGTAGTCTACCTCCTTTTTTCTTCTTTATTAATTAATTCTTCTCCTTCTGTCTAATTTGCAATTGAAATTCCTTATTCTTTTTTACCTTTAACCAATTGAATTTTGCGGGCTGGTTCGAACCATTGTGGCGGTGGTTAGGCAGCAAGTTGTGGCATCGGTGTACTGTGAGATCACTTTATTCTTTATCAAACTGTGAATGCAACACCCATTCATTTAAAAAGCAGCTGGTGCGAGGCTTTATCAGTGCAAGATCTTTTGGTTTCCTTTTGCTTCGTTTGGGAACAAAGAAGGACTTGTAACAATTGTGATTTGCAACATCAATTTTTTATTCAATTGTTTCAATTAAAAGTTTCAATTGAATGAAACAATTTATGCAGTTATGTATCGGGGTGGCAATTTTGTGGATACTTTTGCTTGTATGAGTTGGGTTGATCTATGGGGGCGCTTTGTTTGCTTCGTTGGATTTTTTAAAGATTTTGGTTTAAGGGTTTTATTGAAATGCCCCTTGTCCAAGAAATACAAAAGGAGAAAAAAAGAATGATACTAACTTTTGCGAATTGGCATTTTGGTTAGTGGAATAGTTTTCTCTTTTTTAAAAGGTAAAACATATTTCTATTAAATTTAAAGTATAAGGAGTACTCTAACTTAATTGGAGCAAATACATTGATACTAAAATAAGAGCCCCTATTTTCTTATAGTGGAATAGTAATAATTGTAGGGTAGTATAGTGGAAGGGGATTGTTAAACTACCAAGCTACTTGCTCTCCCCAAAGCTAGTATAACAAGTGAGATTATTTTGTGGCTGAAGAAGCTCAAAAAGTAATCTTTCTACAGTATATAGCCTTATTGTTACTCTATGGTCACATGTTAGTATCTTATATTGGAGTGGATTATGTTGGAAAGAGGCATAAATGTCATATCTCAATTAAGCTCAAGTATGACTACAATATTTATGTAGGTATTTTGATTGTTAACCTTTTGATATATCAACAAGATTAGTCTAGGGTGTGACTATAATTTGGGTTATGCTTTTTTGGTTTTGTGTACTGCCTATATGACAAACCATAGATACATTGTAATTCTTCTATTACTAGTATATCTTTGGTTTTATCATAAAAATAAAAAAAAAAGTTTTGCATTTAAACCAATAATTCATCACCCCCATCAACCTAATCTCTCATTCATCCGGCTGTCCGTTGATTGATATATCACCTGCTTTTTATTAGTTCTGCCCTAATTTTTTTTTTCAACTTTTAAGTTTTTTTTTAATTAATTTTAAATTATATAATGAAAGATAATTTTCTCTTATAATTTTATTTATCCCAGTCGCATTGTGGCTACTCAAGTTAGATTTACCATTGGACATTTATGGTCATTCGTCTGGTTCAAGAGTTGGGTTGTGATATTTTAACTCAATTTTTTACTGTTTGCTATTTGTGTAAAGTAACTCTTCGTCAACTATATAAATATTTCAATGGCCATTTCTTTTCATTAAAAATAAAAAATTTTAAATTTAAATGGTATGGTATATGAGTGAAGTGAGATAAAAAATATAAGATAAAAAATATGAGATAGTTGTCTCTCATGATACACTCAAGGTTAAAAAAAAAAAAAAACCGTAACTCTTCAAAATTTGAGCCCATCATACTGAGTTTGTTTGTTTTTTTTTTTTTTCTCTTTTCTTTTCTTTTCTTTTTATTTTTATTTTTATTTTATTATTATTATTATTATTTTGGAGAATCTAACTCTACACAGGCTAAGGGGTAAAGTGCACTTCCGAAATAGGCCAACTGCATTGAGTCTATCTATTTAGTTTGAACTACGTGCCATCTTACAATGTGAGAAAGAGATTGCTATTACCCAAGTTTGAACCCAACATCTCATACCCCTATCAAAGCTCGGTATTCCACCAAACCTGTGAGGTGATTGGCTATTCATTTGTGTCGATAGGTAAACAACTCTGACAACCACAAAAAAAAAAAAAGGTATTCTGTGATCCATACTGTATTAATTGTACGGTTTGCAGAAATCACTTTTCTGTTAATTGTAAAATTTATATTATTGGATAAAATGTAAATTGCTTAATGTTGGAGGCTACATATTTGAGAAAAGATATAAATAAAAATATTAATTTTATATTTTTTTATTTAAAAATATTAACTTTATAAGTTTTTAAATAAATTTATTAATTTTTAATTTTTTCTATTTAAAAGTATTAATTTTTAACATTTTAATTAACAAATTCGTTTGTCATATTAACATTATCATCTAATTAATTCTTAAATAGGAAAATTAATTTTTAATTTTTTATATTTAAAAGTATTAATTTTTAACATTTTAATTAACAAATTCGTTTGTCATATTAACATTATCATCTAATTAATTCTTAAATAGGAAAATTTAAACATTAGTATTTTTATATAGAAAAAATGGAAGTTAATGTTTTTAAATAAAAAACTAAAAGTTAGTTTTTTTTATAAAAATTAATAAAATTAATATTTTTAAATAAAAAAATATGTAATGTTGATATTTTTATTTATACTTTTTTACTGTTTCTTATAAATAATTTATATTTTATAATTTAATACAATTCAACCTACAAAATATAAATCTCCTCCAACAAATTAAGATTAGAGAAATTACTATAAGAAATTGTCTCATAATTTTTTCGTTTAAAAAAAGTTTTCTTGAGGTTTCGGTAAGGGTAGTGGAATGATAATCAAAATAATGAAATAAAATAAGAGGAAGTGCACGTGCGGAGCGTGTTTCTTGAAGGAATGTCTATGAATTCGGTAATGAGGTGAGTCAAAAGAGAGGATCTCTGGGATGGTGCGCTTCTTGGATCCTGCGTTGCATTTTAAACTATAAAAAAGCTTGGGAATGAATGATTATTTCTAAAACAAAATCAAAATAATACTTATTGCAATTGGCCCGCTCGCTCCAATAAAAAAGCTTGGGAATGGATGATTATTTCTAAAACAAAATCAAAATAATATACTTATTGCAAATGGCCCGCTCCTATTCAATCACATGAAGTCTGGTTAGCGTCATTCATTTTCTCTCTCATTTTCTCTTCATTAATATGTAAATAATTTTAATTTATTTAAAAAAAATATATTATAATACTTATTGCATACTTGTCAAAGCACTATCTTCAGGCATTTGTGCCTGCATAACCTAACCTCTATATTAGTTTTTCTCTATCGTAAAATTAATAAATCTAGGAAGAAAAAAAATTTTATTTTCAAAATGTTCCTGATTTTTTAAAAACAAAGAAATTTTTGTTTAGTCAACCATCATATTACAAGGGTTGATACTACTTACAAGTTGTTGAGTGGGAAAATTCCGCATCAAGTGTAAAATTAAAAAGCTTATAGGTTAAATATAAAGAAGATCACTTCACTTATTGCCAATTAATTTTAGGTTAGATGTAAATTTTGTGTTGACTCCACATGTAAAATTTTTACATGATATCAGAGCCTACATTTTGTCCTGAGAAGCTTGTTGTCAATCCATCAGACAAGACTTGAAGTTGAAGGTATCAGGTCTGCATTTAAGGAGGCTGCACATGAGGGGGTGTTGAAATACAAGGAAGTCCACTCTACCCATTACCAATTGGTTTTAAGTTAGATACAAGCCTTATATTAAACTCACATGCATAATTTTCACACAAGCTAAATTTTCACACAAGCTGTAATCGTAATATCAACAAAACTTCCTATATTACATTTAGTTAGAGTTTCTAGAGTGATTCAATGGATTAAGAAATATGAGACTCTCTAAATTAGTATTATATATGCCATCCAATATAAAAAAAAGTTTACATTCAATTAGAATTAAAAGGTATTTGTTTTGAATTTTTTGTGTATAGCTATTGATGGTTAACTTTAATCAAATGAATTAAATATTTTAAATTATAAATAATAATTATTATTAATAATAAAATATTAATTATTAATTATCAATTATATCTAAATAATTAATTCAAATAACCTTGTAACCGAACAATTTCAGTAATACTCGAAATCCGACAATTGTCATTTAGGCGCTGGAAAACTACAATTTGGTCAACCCATCAGCTCCACCTACACCTGAAACAACCAAGGGGACTGTAGATTAGAATGTTCTGATTACCAAGCTCAGACTGCAACTGTTTCTTGGGAACAAAGGTCAGAGAAAACAGAACACATCTCTCCGGTCGACCCATTTGGTGCGATTTTGTAGATCTTTGATTCCATTGAGTTGGCAAAACATCAAATCTGTAAGCCTTTTTTTTATTTGAATATAGGGTTTAAGTTTTTTCCTTTCTACATTTTAGAGTTTTTTCGTCCAGTCTTAGGTGGCTCCGTACATACACATTTTCGGGTTTAAGTTGAATATAAGTTATATTGGATGAATCGAGTCTTGCGGTCCAATGGTTCGTCCCCAAACCTTAATACTTGGGTGAGATAGTGGTCGGAGCTTCAAGTTCTACTACTGTCGTGAACTCCATCAAACTGTGGTCTGATGGCCGCACGCCTCATTTTTTAGGAGATGGAATGTTCACCGGAGTTTCGAGCTCTCTACTGTCGTGAACTCCACCAAACTGTGACCTGATAGTCGTACGCCTCATTTGAGAAGATGGAATGTTCACCGGATTTGAGGACCAACTGTTAACAATTAACTTACTAACTTCTTAACCATTACTTTTGTAAAAAAAAAAAAGAAGTTATATTGGATACTTGATTTAAAATTGTTGGGTATAGCCCTTTAAACTGAGTATTTATTAAAATACTTGAAAACTTATATTAAGTACTTAATTTAATAGATATCAAGATAACTTATATATATATACTTATTATTTGATATTAAGAAAGAAGAGACTTTATATCAATTGCTATTGTTGTTTGTGTTATGTATTTGGTTTAAACTTTATTATTTGTATAAGTTGTTATCGCTGTGCATGTAAATTTTTTAGTTTAGGACTTATTTTTATATTTTAGTATTTTTACTTTTAAAAATTATTTTTATTATATAAAAATAAAGTATAATAAATACATATCAAATTTCAATTATACAAGTTCATGTAATAGGGTAGTTAAGCAAGTTGATTAAATAAGTTAGATAAATAATTTTGAATTTATATATTTACTACTTAATTTAATACCTATAATATTTATTTTTATAACTATTATTTACATAATTTTTTACAATTTAAATATAATATTTATCTAAACAGATAAAATATTTATAAGCAATATATGTAGCGGACCCACTGCTCACCCTCAATATATTCAAATTCTCACAGGCTTTCGACCCAATCCATTCTAATACGGGCCTGTGGATAATCTATGTGAAGGGCGCACCCCCTCCTGAAACGACAGCACATCTGCAACTTTCAAATTTGCAACGCTTCTTTCACCTGTCTTCTCTGTTGATACCACACAAGGGAGAGAGATCTGACTGAAAAAGTTGGCCCGCCGATTACCGCTGAGCTAGACTAGCTCCGGCAGCCGTCACTTTGGGCAGACAAACATGGTGGATCCGGCGAGCACGCCGCTTGGCAAAATGCTGTTGGAGGAGATCACTCCCGTGGTCATGGTCCTCTGCACACCGAATGTCGAAGAAGCATGCCTCAAAAATGGCCTCTCCTTCGTTCAAATGCTCACTCCTTTCTGCAACTTCAACAACATTGATGGTGAGATATCAATTCTCACTCCCTGGCTTGCATTGATTGTGTTAATTATGTCTCAAAAGTTGTGAGTTGGATTGTCTTTTGATTTGTGGTTAGCAGTGCTAGTTCGTACAGCTAGTGATCAGCCGTACAGGCTGCAAAAGTTCAAGCTGCGGCTGTTTTACGCGTCGGATATTCGGCAGCCGAATCTGGAGGTAATTCTTTCAACTCTTTAGATGTTTCCTGTGTAGCTGAAGCAATATTAGGAAAATGTTTGAGATTTAAATTTTCAATTTGGTTAGGCAGACTTTAGTTTCTAGGATTTTCTTTTGTGCTACATGAACAGGTGCTAAGTTGCTATTGAAGATTTCTTGAAGTCAAGGAAATTTAGAATTTATGTTACTTTATGGAGTCTCAGACTGCTATAAACTGTTTAACTTTTGAAGTTGCAGCATCATTGATTTGAGACTTGAGAGACTGAGAGTTTTATTATAAAGTGCTAAATAAAAGAATGAGGAAAAGATGGTATGCCTTGGTGTATGGTGATGTTGAAAACTTGAAATAAACCATGAGCGCAATTGTACTCATGCCAACAGTTTCCATTATATGATTAAGTATCCTCAGTGATTACAATTCTTCTATCTGAAAATACGTCTTGATGTCTAGGTAGCAGAGGAGAGGTTGAAGCAGGTTATTACCCAGGCTGGAGAGAGAGATTTTTCTGAATTGTCTATAGATCCACCTCATGTTGATGATTTGGTCTCTCGTAAGTTAATTATAATCAACAATCTTTGTTATTTGTAGTTAAAATCCTGATTTTTTACTTATTCTTGGTTTAATATTTTATCAGCATTTTACTTTAATGTGGCTAGTTTCCTTTGTCAGGCTTAACAAATATTAGGACAGCTGTTCTCTCATCTAACTCTCCATTGCACATTTTGATACTTTTGCTAGCTGTTTTAATTTATACATTGTGACTCATTGCCGCAGGATCTGAACCTGAAATTTTGCCCTCATGGTTTCAAGTTTTCAATAAAGAGCTCATACGTACCTTGTCATTTTCAGACCATGAAGCTTTTGACCATCCAGTGGCATGTAAGCTTCTGAAATTTATTAGGAGCTTCTCTTTCCTTTTTACGTAAAATATCATTTGCATTGAGTACTAGATCTTTTTATACAATCAATTTGCAGGTCTTTTGGTTGTTTCTTCGAAGGATGAAGAACCCATAAACAGATTTGTTGATCTGTTCAACACAAATAAATTGCCCTCTCTTCTTAATGATGGCGTGATGGACCCAATGATTTTGAAGCATTACTTATTGTTACATGATAACCAGGATGAGACTTCAGAGAAGTATGTCAGCCTTTTTTGTCTTCATGATAGTGTAATCTTTGAAATGTTTTATGCAATTCTTTCTTCTGAGCTGTGTTATAAACTTATAATAATTATTAACATAATGATAACAAACACTGCTAGAGTGGAGGATGATGTTGACAATATCTTCCTGAAACTTATCTAATGGAGTTTCACACAGAAGATTTAGTTTGAACTTCTTGACTAGAGAAATTAACTGACCTGCATTTGTTGTAGTCTAGGAGACTATAAATCTCTAAAGTGAAATACTTATCTTTTCCACTTTCAAAGAGTCTTGCATTGGCCCTGATCCTCTTTTACTTCATTTGATGTGCATCCTTATTGAGGATTGATAATATCTGTAAGTTTCCATTTTAATCCTTAATATCTCAAACTTATTATTTGAAAAGTGGATTATGATAACCTGGAAACGTTTCTTATTAGATTTTTATGCCTGTTTTTGCCCCTAGTTCATTGGAAGATAACATGTATGCATATTGTTTATTAATCAGATGAGTGGGTAGGCTTTTTGCACTCTATTAATCAGTTGAAGCGTAAGAGACATGTTTTGACCTAGATAAGCATATGGAATTATAATTCTTCAGTTGCACTTGTAGCTGTTCTGTTTATGTATATTTTTTTTATCAATCTCATTTATTAATTATTTTGATTTCATTATTATTGCCTTTTGTAGTTGCATCGTAATTAGAATTGTTGTTGCAATGATTCTACAGCTACTGAATGTAATATTACAGCTGTTTAAATTCTTTCATGTCTGCAGAGCAACTAAAATTTTGACAGAAATGAGAGGTACATTTGGTCCTAATGACTGTCAATTACTTTGCATTAATTCTTCTAAAGATGGGCCATTGCAACATCAGGATAACCCTTGGTCTCAATTTGTGAGTTAGTTTAAAGGACTACAATCTTTGTTTCATTTACATATTTCAAAAGATAATATAATGTTATCAGTTTTTCATTTCCTTTTAGAGTGTTAAATAAGGCAGCAGGGTTTATATCTTACATACTTTTTTGACAGAAGTTGGATGCTTTGCCTGGTCAGCATCTTGGTTGTTTCCTTAATATTGACGACTTTAATGAGGTAATGTGTTTCAATAATTTCTTTCTTTCTCTTTTATTTTATTTTATTTTTTCGATGGAATCATTTCAATAAATTCATCTGATCTTAGATATTGTTAATTTATGTTTCCTTCTTTTTTTTTCTTTTTTTTTTTCTTTTTCTTTTTGCAATTTGTGGATGCAGATAAAAGATATCCTGCAAGAATTATCAACTAAGCACATCATTCCTTACATGGAGCAAAAAATACATGTGCTCAATCAGAAGGTAAATTCCAGATTTCTTATCCCGTGGTTCCAATGTATATTACATTGCCTTTTCTTTTTTGACTTTTTTCTCTGCTTGTTACTTTTGTAATTGAAACAATTAGGTTTCTGCTACACGGAAAGGATTTAGAAATCAAATTAAAAACTTATGGTGGAGAAAAGGGAAGGAAGATGAATTAGATTCCCTCAATGGTCCTATGTAAGTCTTACAGATATGTTCATTTGTGAATTTTTATTTGCTTTTTGTTTCCTTCTCAATGTATTCTAATTTGGTTTTTATTTTTACTGTTAAAGATACACCTTCAGCTCAATTGAATCTCAAATTAGAATTTTGGGTGACTATGCATTCATGTTACAAGATTATGATCTGGCATTGTCGAACTATCACTTAATTTCCACAGATTACAAGCTTGATAAAGCATGGAAGCGGTATGCTGCTGTTCAGGTTGCTTCAGATCTTTATTTCTTCATTCTTGTGGCTCTTGGCCATTACTTTTATTAATCATTATTTATTCTACATTATTATTACTATTATTATTTGTTCTTTTCTTTGGTTATGGTTCTGTGGGAAGCTGTTATATTGTGAACATCTCTTAGTCTTCTTTTTTTTTTTTTTAAATTAATTTATTATCCCCACCTTGTCCAAATTTTGGGATTTTATTGAGCATTTGTAGGAAAACTAATTGGAGAAGCAGGGGAAAATTTTCTCATATCCTTGCCTTTTTTTTTTACAAGGTTGCATTCCTGATGGTCAGAACTCAGAAATATCTTATTTTGTTGGTTTATCGCTGTAGTTTTTCCAAATTTCCATTCAACAACTGCAATGAAAGAAGCACCCTTAAAAAATTTTCTTGAAACTTTCTGTTAATAAAACAAAATACTAGAGAGTAAACTAGTGCACATGTTGATTAACCTAGTCTACAGTATGGCCAGCAAACTTTATTCATATCTGGTTAAGGGAAAGTATTTTAAGGACCACGGTGTTATGTACATTAGAGTTATCCAAGTGTCTGTATTATTGTGTCTTGATTTGTTGAAGTCTTGATTTTGAGCCTTGTGTGGTCACATTCTTCTAGGGCTTGTGATGCTGGTTATAAGTTTTGAATTTCTTGTAATCTAGTTTGGCAACTTGCATGTTACTCCTAATGGTTTTAGCTTTAGGTGAACAATCTCCCAGTGGCAATATTCTTAATTTGTCTTTGTCATATTTCAGGAAATGATGGGGCTTACATACTTCTTGCTGGATCAGTCAAGAAAGGAAGCAGAGTCTTGCATGGAAAATGCATTTGATACTTATTTAGTATGTATAGTTCTTGATTCCTGTCTTGCTTTATTGTAGTACTTTGGGAACCAGGTCTGAAATCTATTTGAGCCATTTTAAAAAGGAAGAGATTAAAATTTGGCTTGAAAATGTGATGCAAACGCAAGTTTGATGTTAAATATTGTCCTAAGCCCAAGTTTGGTGAGGAAAACTTTGCAGAAGTTTAAAATTTAATAGTAATAGGAATAGTAATAAGTTAATGTAGATTAAAAAATATCATAAAAATTAATCTAAACAAATAAAATGCAAAAAAAATGAAATGGGTTTTCTAAATAACTGATGATAATGGTAAATTGATGATAACAAGAATATAATTTTAAGGAAGTTGGTTTGTGATATTTCAAGTTGATCACTGTGATTTTTGTGTCTGGCTTGTTTGAGTAAAAGATTCAGATATAAACTTTGCTGTAGTCACTGGTTATTTTTATAATTGATTGTTGGCAAACTTCTGTTACTTGAGATCAATTTGTTTACCCCCCTGTTAACAGGCAGTGAGATTTGCTCTCTTTCTGTGTTAAATCAATGTTTACTGATGGCTTCTTTGTGCATTCTTAATGAAAGATTTTAAATATTGGCAAGAACTGCAATATTTACAAAAGATAATAATTAGATTTTGATGTAGTTAAAAGATTACAGAGAAAATGTTGCAGGCAGCGAAAAACTGTAGAAAATTTATTTGAGAAGAAACTTATTCAAAAGTTACATGGGAAGAATGCTAACCCATGATATGTTGGGGATCTCCTTTCTCTGTGGTGCTACTCTCGGTGAAGCACTGCAAGATATTTTTTGGTCTGCTTTCTTAGCCTACAAATCCTGTGTTTTGTTAGGAACTTATTCATAATATTGCTATTTTATTTTGTTGCTCTTATTTATTTTCCGTATGCATTGTTTTTTAAAAATTCTTGAAAAGAAGAAGAAGAAGATGAATGAGTTGTAGTTAAGACACGCAACTAATTCTTCCCTGCCTTATCTTTTATTTCTTTGAAATTCATGCAGAAAATTGAGTCAGCCGGTCAGCAGAATGCTACACGGTGTGGTCTCTGGTGGATAGGGATGCTGAAGGCTAGAGATCAGCACAAAGAAGCTGCCACTGTCTACTTTCGCATTTGTGGTGAGGTAATACCCATGTCCTAGGAATTACTCCATTGAAATATATATTTTTCACTAATCAGAGCCTTTTTCTCTTAGGATCCTTTACATTCGGCTGTTATGCTTGAGCAAGCATCTTACTGTTACTTCTTTTCAAAACCGACAATGCTGCACAAATATGGATTCCATCTTGTTCTTTCTGGTGATCATTATAAGAAATGTGACCAGGTATCCACATCACTAGTATTACCATAATTTTATCAAATCCTGCCTCTTCTTAGTTTCAATGTTATCTTCTTCAGGTTAAACATGCTATTCGCACATATAAGAGTGCAATTTCTGTCTACAAGGAGACTACGTGGGACCATATCAAGGATTATGTTCATTTCCACATTGGACGGTAAGTTATGAACTTTTTGCACCATAATCCCATGCATATTACTTACAATTGTAGGATTCACTGTTGGAAAGACTTGTAACAGAATGGATTTGATATAGGTGGTATGCTTTTCTTGGCTTGTATGACATTGCTGTCATGCATATGTTGGAAGTCTTGGCCTGCAGCCATCAGTCCAAGAAAAATCAGGAACTATTTCTGAGGGATTTTCTTCAAATTGTTCAGGTGATTATTCACACTTTCTTTCCTGTTATGCTTGAGATACACACTCATGGAAGTAGAAGAAACGGAACATTCTTGGAGCACACGAAGTCTGTGCTAGATTTTCTAGCTCCTGTTTTGTTTGAGCCTACGTGACTACAAACATTGTAACATATTCCTGCAGCCATTCACAGATGCATCATTTTTATGATTGTTCAGTTCTTTTATAATATACTTGTACCAATCTTGGTCCTAGTTTAGAATGAGTCAAAATGTCTAAGGCTCCATTAAGTTTGCTGTGGTGATGAACCAAAATTGAACAGGCCCTATGATAACAAGCTTTACTCCTAAAAGAGAAAAAAAGAAAAAAGGGAAAAAGAAGCTTTACAATGTTAGATTTTTCATAACCCCTTTATTAATATTTTCCATTTAGTGCTAAGGTCATCCCAACAGCTAGCATGTTTGCTATTGTATTCTTTGTAAGCTTTGAACATCTTCTGAATTGTAACTTCCCCCCCTAATGTAGAAAACTGGGAAGACATTTGAGGTATTTAAACTTAAGTTACCTGTTATCAGCATATCATCACTGAAGGTTATTTTTGAAGACCAGCGAACTTATGCATCACCTGCTGCTGTAAGTTGAGTTACCTTAGATTTTTACTTAGAGCTGCAAACTTTCACTTTTCACTTTTAATATAATGATTTCTTATCATATTGGGTAATTGTGCACATCTTTTAAACAATAATGTTGATGTTGATGTTATTGTGATTCAAGTTTATGATCTGGAATGTTGATGTTATCATACTGTTGGTTTTCCTTCCCCCCCCCCCCACATAAATTCATTATATTCTGAATGTTGTGAGATGAACCTACTAGTATAAATTTTCTTAACTATACTACATTGCTACCATAGGCCCACTCAGACCACAAACCACTTTAATCATTATGATCCATATTACTCTTTAACATTTCTGTAAACCTAGAGATTTCTGTTATATAAAGGCTGCAGAAATTTCCAATATAAATTCACATTTTTTTCCTGATTGGAACCTCTCTTTGTTCCCTTTTGAAAGATTTTAACTTTGACAAGTTTTAAAATTGCTCAAGGCTGCACTGTGCATTTTAGACATTTCCTATATGCATGTGTTCTAAGCAGGTGGAATGAAGATTTACTTTTTCCATATAAGTTCCATGAGATCCCTGGCCATGGTTAAGATTTGAGGATATGCAGTTAGGCATCCATGGCTAGTCATCGTTGGAGAAATGTGATCGGGTTTGGATGAGACATTGGGAGATAAAGGTTTAACTAAAAGTTAAGAACTGGTTATGGCAAATTGTTCTTTATTTCTTTTAAAAGTGGTGGTGTAGTTGTTGCTTCAATTTGTACTGGCCTTTTGAAGTTTCTTGAAAATTACAATGAGGGCAATGGGCCCAATGGCCATCCTGTCTTTGTTAATTAAATGTTTTGTGAACAGACAGGTTTGAATTATTACAACCTGGCATCAGCTCGAGACTTTGTGCTTCTTTGGTTTACTTGTCCTGGAATTTGATGGGATTGTAGCTGGCATGGCTATTTTAAGCTATACTTTTATTCCCAGTGTTAATTACATTGTTGGTCTGTGCATCATAAAATTTGGTGGTGTGCGAACAAGAACTTACAATTGATGAAATCATTGATTCTTTATTTCCTGTTGTTTACTTTCTTCTTATTTGGAGATTATACAATTTTGATTATGATCTTAATACACAAAAATATTTAAAAATATTTCTGTTAATTATATTAAAAATCAAACTAAATAATTTCTTCTGGGATCATTGAATTGCTTCATGAAACTGTTTTAAAATTTTTTATCTAATGGTTTGTAGTTAATGGCATTTTGTTTTTTCCAGGCTAGTGTCAAAGAAAGTATATGGCATTCATTGGAGGAAGACATGGTTCCATCATTGACCACTGCCAGGTCTAACTGGCTAGAGTTACAGTCAAAGCTTATGCCAAAAAAATATAAAGAATCAAATATTTGTGTGGCAGGAGGTATGAAGGTGATAGTGTTTTACATAAAGTTATGTGAACTTTATGGTTAGTGTCTTTTTCCTGGACAAGAAATGGTCATTTTCTTTTCTGTATCCAAATAAAAGTTTTCTAGTTGGTTTACTTCTATTTATTATTTCATGAAGCAATGGAGTGCATTATATATGTACTAACCAGTGGTGGTGGGTTTGGCATTTTTTTGTGAATGCACAAATTAGACAGCAAAAAATTGAATAAAGATAAATACACATTTCCATTTATTGCTATTCTGCTGAAACCTGCTCTGTAATCCATGCTGCTTTTCCAGACTTTATATTTTACCTTCTTATTTCCTTATTTATTTTACTGATTTATCAGTGTTGGGATCCCAATTATCTAAATGACCTTTTCAGCTAGTACTTTTTTATTTTAGGAAATTGCTATCGATTTTTCTGAAGTCACCAGATCCCTTTTCTGAAACAATCAAGTCAGCAGTTAGAGGTTGTTTTGATTTGGGAGACAGGAGACCCAGGTCCCTCTTGACTAAGATATTGCTCTATTTTGAGTGCTTTTATTTTTATATCATGACTCCTTGAAGAAAATAGGATTCCACTGAAAGAATTAATGAAACATAACGATGAACACATTCCACCAAATCAGACATTTTTGGTCTTGGAATTCATGTCTATTATTGCAAAAGAATTGAAATAAAACTGCACTTGTTGCATTGTAGTTTATTCACAATTCTCAACAAGGATTTCCTTATTCTACCATAATAAACTTTATAATTGAAAAGTTCATTCTTTCTTCTGCTACTGTCTTAAATGGATAAGATTGTGCTTCAACATGGTGGGATGTGACATGCTGTTACAACCATAACTTGAATGTGTGAGATTCATCATACTCTTTTTTTTTTCTTTGTGACAATAATTTTCCAACAAGTGCAACAAGATATTTAAGAGGCATATTTAATAAGCACAGAGCTCAAGACCTTCACTACAATGGAGGGCAGATTCAACTTCTAACTTGATTGAAATTTCAGACCTAACTATTAGAAATCTAATAGGTATTATTGATAAGTAAAAAATTTGATACCATTCTGATGATGTTTCTCACTTTGCAGAGGCCATAAAAGTGGATGTTGAATTTAGAAACCCTCTGCAAATCTCTATCTCGATTTCGGGTGTTTCTTTGATATGTGAGCTTTCTGCAAGTCCTGAAGAAATGAAATCTGGCAAGTTACTGTCAAATTCTTTAGCTCTTTTGTTTCCTTTATCTCCCTCTTTATCAACTTTTATTTTGAGAACTTATTCATCAAAATTGACTAATTAATGATGGTGATGCAGATGCTAGTAGCTCAGCCATTGAGCTCCAGAATGATGAGAACAAAAATTCAAGAACCAGTGTGTATGAATCTGTATCACTCCCTCTCTTTCCCCCTTCCCGCCCATATTATATTGTTGAGGTTAGGTCCTTACACCTTGTAGCTGCTGACTGAGATGTTTCCATGACCATTGCAGGGACATTATCTCACCATTTATTTTGTCAGAAGTTGACTTTACATTAGCAGGGGGAGAAACCATCTTGGTGAGTCTCATGAAAACTGTCAGACTGCTATTTGACTATTATATGTCTTATTAACTTTTCAAGTTTATTGTAGCTTTTACTGGGGTTTGGCACTCTGTATGTAGGTTTTTTTATGCTTATGTAGAGATTCAGCTGTCTTGTGTCCAGGCTGTATCATATTTATATCTCATGTTGCTCAAAATTCAACATGCTACCAGAATTTTGCCATGAACAACCTTGCAACTACAATTTTAAATGGATATATAGGGATAATACCAACCATATCTCAGCAGGCTTCAAGCAAGTACTACAGAGTTGGAAAATTTTAAGATGTAAACATATGAAATAGGTCTGATATTGAGAAATTTATAATTACAGCATTTGCAAACAAGTTCTTAAATACTCTAATCCTAACTGCAAAGTGGATACTGGTCGATTTTAAAGAAAACATAGGACTGACTATAATCTGTCTTTGACAGTTGTGAAGGGATTCAGTTATAAATGATCTGATTCCTACTTGTTTGAGTATTCAGTTATCAACTGATGTGGGTTTTATAAACTAGCCATTTTGCATGCCAGACTTGTTTCCTTTTTCCTATTACAATCTTCAAGAATTCTGTGTATTGCTAACTTGTTTCTTCAGGTGCAACTAACAGTAGCTCCAAGAGTGGAAGGCATCCTAAAAATTGTTGGTGTTAGGTGGAAATTATCAAGTTCTGTAGTTGGTTTTCATAATTTCGAGTCCAACTTTCTGAACACAAAAATTGTAAAAGGGAGGAACTCCAAGCATTCTCCTATCAATGAATTAAAATTTATGGTCATCGAGGTACATTCTTCCCCACATTCTGCCTGCACTCATGTGTTTTTGTGTGGAATTAATCTGTAAGCTAACCCCAGCCCTTTTGTTGTTAAATGTCCAGAGTCTTCCCAAGCTTGAGGGTTTCATTCATCCTTTTCCAGAAAGTACTTATGTTGGAGACTTGCGGCCCCTTGTTTTGGAGTTAAGGAACCAATCAAAATATCCTGTGCAGGTAGGTGTTTCCCACATGCTAGTATTTCTGCAAATCAATGCATTAGTGTAGGAATTTCATTAGTGATTGATTTGTATGTGTCTGGGGTCTTCCAACTGAGGTTATGTAATTTATCTGTTGATTGCTTAGAGGCTTAACAGTTACTAT